GCCATCCTGCAACATGAGTAACTCATGATACAAAATTCCTGCTCAAGGAAAGCATAAGATGTGATCCCTTGAACAAGAAGATATTATTTGCATCTTTCGTGCTAGAAATGAATCACCAAAGAAACTAAAGCCTCTTCCCCATCACCAAAGAACAGAGACAAAAAATCCCCTCCCCTCATATCCATAGTAGAAGTTCACACCTCAAGGTTTTGCGAGTTCTTTGCAAAGAAGTCCGAGAAGCATTAAGCAATAACTGCTAAAATATATAAAGATTATTATTCGTCACAGATAAAGCCCATGTATGTGGATAAAGAGAGCAATATCTGGCTAGCATAACTGATATCGAACATACCATGGTACATCCTTCACGGGCAATAATTCAGCTGCAGAGAAAGCTTTAAGTTTGTGTTTGATAGTTAGGGAAGACGTGATTCTTTAACCAATTCAGACTAGGTCTTAGCAAAAGCCTGGTGATCCTGGAAACTCTCAGCATATGTTTTAAATTCAAAACAAAACAAGTGCATTTCTGAAGATCTATGATAATCATGCTTTCGCAATAATATGATACATTATGGAAGCTATAAAATTTATTAAGTAATCCCCAACCATAATATTGTCCTCTAAGATCTTCTCACTTTAGCCTATGTTTCAATTGATCGACTTGTCCCTACTTCATCTGTATTTTCACTTTCTCATATGCCTCTCCTTCAAATTCAACAGATATATGATAGGGTAAGAGAGACTATTCCAAAACTAACAATATCCAACAGCAAACACAAATGAAGGGTGTTCAAAGCTGATTACATAACTCACTAACTAGATCCCCAGAAGCTTTATATCACTCCAAAACAGATAGGTTCTATGCCACTATTCTTCGCCCTTATCAGAATAAACAAGCCTAAAAAAAGGGAAAAAAAGGAACAACACTTTACCAAAAAGCTTTTTCAAACAGCCCATTTGAAAATAACATAATAAATATTTCACAGATTAATCTATAAACTTCTGATCTTGAAAACAGATGTGCATCAGTCGGTGACAAATTAAAGATAAAGGGGCATTCACAAGCAGAACGAAAACCACGAAAATGTGTCTACTTGTCCTTCAGCTCGATCCATTTCCCTAAAGCCAAGTTATTCTTCTGATCATCTCCCAAAGCTTAATATAACCAAGTTAATTGAACACTCACACTACGTAAATTTGAGTGACAGACAATACAATTAAGATACCCAATATTATTTGTGAAAACCATTTATGCACAGTGCAGATCTTGAAATAATTTTGCCAACCATCATTTTCTTTGTCGTCATCAACTCAATTTCATGCTTTTCCTGTAGATGAAATGTGGAGCTTTCTTGTGACTTCCATTCACAGTTTCACAAATGCTAAATCTGGATTGTAGGCAATAAAAATTGCCTTTATCCCTGCACAACAACTTGGAACAAGCAAAAGAGCTTAAGGGTCCTTCTCTGGAAAGGCAGACCGACTCCCCGAGAGTCCACCTGACTCAGGCCGACTCCCTGAAGAGTCCAGCCCCCCAGACGACTCGAATGACCGACTCCCCGAAGAGTCCAGTCCCCAGACGACTCGAAGTGGCCGAGACCCCTCGTTGACTCGAAGGGCGGTGTCAGTCCACCCCTCGAAGACCAAGTGGTCGAGACCCTCTCGCCGACTCGAAGTGGCGGAGACCCCCTCGTCGACTCGAAAGGTGGTGTCAGTCGACACGACCCAATCGACACGAAAGGCGGTGTTAGTCGACACATGTCCAGTCGACACGAAAAGCGGTGCTAATTGACCCCTCCTATCGAAGCCGACTCGCCAAGAGTCCATCTGACTCAGTCGACCCGACGACTCGACGCTTCTTCACATCGACACGAAAGACGGTGTCAGTCGACACGACCTAATCGACACGAAAGACGGTGTTAGTTGACACATGCCCAGTCGACACGAAAAGCGGTGCTAGTCGACCCATCCTATCGAAGCCGACTCGCCAAGAGTCCATCTGACTCAGTCGACCCGACGACTCGACGCTTCTTCACGTCGACACGAAAGACGTTGCTAGCCGGCCCCTCCTATCGGAGCCGACTCGCCGAGAGTCCACCTGACTCAGCCGACCCGACGACTCGACACTTCTTCACGTCGACACAAAAGGTGCTACTAGCTGGGCCCTCCTATCGGAGCCGACTCGCCGAGAGTCCACCTGACTCAGTCGACCCGACGACTCAACGCTTATTCACTGTTGAGAGACGTTATGTAATGTGGTTTAGTCCCACATCGAGTATGAGACCAGACTTGTATCTATTTTGAAACTATATATAGACTAGAGTAGTCCAGTTTTGTACCCAGTTATTAAAGTTGTATAGCTCTCAATTCTGAAAAAATTTGTAACTTCTTATTCATTTTTTATAACTATTTAGTCCAGTTTGTACCCAGTTATCTCTATTTTATAACTCATAGTTCTAGAAAAAAATTGTAACACCTAATTCATTTTTGTAACTCTTAAGGTACATATAACCATACTGTTCAAAGAATACATAATTGCATTCATACATACATAACTTTAGTTTAAATTATCACATTATACTGGAACACGTGATTAATCCGTACAACCACATTATCAACTCGCAAACTTAAGGTACACACGGTTCAAAGAACAGATAATTGCATCCATACATAACTTTAGTTCAAATTATCACATTATACTGAAACACATGATTAATCCATACAACCTCATTATCAACTCGCAAACTTAAGGTACATATAACCATACGGTTCAAAGAACACTTAATTGCATCCATACATACATAACTTTAGTTCAAATCATCACATTATACTGAAACACATGATTAATTTTGTAACTCAAGGAAAATACGCTTGCAAACTACTTTGTTTTGGCCCTCCACTAACTTTCTCGAGCTCCACCTGTAACATTTTTTATCTACAAAAAAATTACAACTTTATCATGACAAATGCATTGAAATGAAAAAAAAATCATCAAATTAAGATAAAAGATAATACCTTGCTAAAGGACAACTCGTTATATAAGGCCCTTTTCCCTTACAAAATCCACAAAATCTTTTCTTATTTATACTCTTTTCTTATGCTATCTCCATTCTAAACTTAATTCTAGTAGTCTGTGTTGGTCGTGTGTTGGTCGTCCCTTCGTTGCGTGGCAACGACCTTATCTGAATCACGAATAGTGATTTGAGTTGCTTCCTCTATAAAGATGGGTATGGATGAAGTAGGCATCTTATTGCTGGCATTGCTCTCATTTTCATTATCGTTAAGTTCCTTCTCTTTCTTGTAATTCTTAACTTCTTCAAAAAATGAGTCTAAAAGACCACTAAACTTATCATGAAGTGTACTTGAAGTTAATGTATCTTCTAGTGCCTTGTTACATCTACTCCTAAGGACCCAATGTTTAATGATAGAAAGTTCATCTTCACTATTTGTAATGTAATTTCTAACAACTCTGAAACCAATATGTCTTGCATTAATTGTCCATCGTTGCATAATATATCTTGATGGAATTTCTAATATTTGTTTTTTTTAATAAAATGTGCAAGCTATGTTTGCATAATATACCTTCCATCTCAAATCTCACACAAGAGCACTTAATTCTTTTTTCTTTGGATGCATCGAAGACAACATGATGCTTTACTATCTTCTTGCTTTCAACCTCCCTATCTATATTCCAAACAGCATAAGTAGCACTTGCGTCATCCTTTGACAACCTTTCATGAAGCATGGAGTAACTATCCTTGAGTTCTTTCTGAAAGATAGTAAACATATTCTTTGTATATAATTCTTCCTAGCTTGTTTTTTAATTGGATGTCCAATTATCAATGTAGGAATTAAGTTTGTGGACTTAAAATTTTGCTCAAGTTTAGCGGCTCGTCAAGCTCTGACAACATTATCATATTGCTTAACAAAATCATGTAACTCGGTATTGACATTCACAAAATGATCAAAAAAATATTAATTCCCTCACTCTGCTGAGTAGATGGCATTCCTACAGTAAAAGTATATTTAAAATACACAGGAGCCCAATGATCTTGATAATTGTATAAATTTACTAACCAACTTCTTTTATCTACATCATATTTGTCCCTCATTTCTTCCCAACGCTTTTATCTACACCATATGGTTATACTTTATAGAAACTTCCTCACCATAATCATTATGCATTGATTGAAGATTTTGTAAGGCATTCTTATGAAGGTGCCAAGAACAAAAGCGATGACAAGTTTGAGGAAAAACTTTGTGAATTACACCACACATAGTTTTATCTTGATCAGTGATGATTATTAATGGTGTTATACCCAACATACATTTTAGCTATTGGCTAAATAACCATATAAAGGTCTCCGTTTCGTCGGCTAATAGTGCACACCCAAATAAAGTAGATTATCGATGATGGTTAACGTCCGTAAATGGTGCAAAGGGCAATTTTAAATTGTTTGTTCTATATGTAACATCAAAACAAACATCTCCAAATTGCAAGTAAGAAGTCATTGCCCTACCATCCATCCAAAAAATACTTCTCATCGTTCCATCATTTTCTAAATCTAGAGCAAAGTAAAATTGTGGATCAGATACCTTTTTCTCTTGAAATTGACAAAATATGGTCACGCACTCACGGCCGACATTGTTTCTTCGTTTAATTCTAAGATGATCTTGCCATTTTTGTTGAGTGAGAGAGCCTTGTTCATTTGTATGAGCAACGTCTATAACCTTACAAATGGTAGAAGGCTGTAAACCTTGGTCGTCAAGAGTATCTATCAACCTTTTTGTCGATTGAGATTGATGAATCGTCCGATGTAAGTAGTGTTTCTTTACCTGATTTGGAGTGGTTTATGGATGATCATTATGATTAATGTTAAAATTTCGGACCACCCACTTTCCAGTGTTTCTAACAAGTCCAATAACCATCCTTGCGTTGCATGCACATCTTGTACTGGACTTTCGAATTACATTCTTACCATCTTCTCTTTTATCTTTTAAAAAGTTAAAGCATTCTTTGTCACATACAAAGGTTCTAATTATGATTGTATCTTCCTTTCTCGACCAAGATGTATGACCTTTACGAATACCAAATCTCTTAAGTCTGGCATATGCATTATAAAAATTATAACCTTCCTCATGAGTAGAGAACTTCATTCCGATATATGGATCAACAACAAGATTACCTTAGCCATTTTCAACACCAATAGGCTCGTAAACATTCTCCTCATACTCGGATTCCTATAAAAGTCGAGAAACATAACTTATAAAAAAAGACTCAATTCATGCTTAAAGACAACTATTTTGGTATATGTCATTAGTTAGTAGTACACTATGAACAATAAGATATTATCACCTGAGAGAAAAAACTTGTCGTAGATAGATCATGGTCCTCGCCTTCAAGGTCAAGAGCTATAAGTTTGTTTTCATCTTCATTCATTGTTGTATCACGTGAGAGAATTGTTGGAGTGTCCATACAAGCTATCAAATTATCATATATAAAAAGTTTAAAATCTTTAAAAAACCATCATCAAGTTGATCTTTCAATTTCACTAAACAATTTTATTATCTAAGCTCAAAAACTAAAATCAACCCCAATGAATAATAGCTCAAATTGTACCAAATTCAAGATATAAGTTCGAAGCTCAAAAACTAAAATCAACCCCAATGAATAATAGCTCAAATTGTACCAAATTCAAGATATAAGTTCGACTCTCAAATGAAATAAAATTATGAAATGAATAATAGCTCAAATTGTACCAAATTCAAGATATAAGTTCGACTCTCAAATGAAATAAAATTATGATAGTTCAAACCAAATTTAAAGTTCATATCCAATTTAACAATAAACCTATCCCAAAATCTAAACTCAAATATAATCTCCACTATTATACAATTCTTCAAAAGGTCATGTTCATAATTCATATCCCAAAATCAACAAGAATTACAAGATAAAAATTCCCTAACTAAACTTACATAGCAAAATTATATGAATATCTGGGACTCTAAAAATTATATGGATAACTTTGTTAAGCTGAAGGTCGTCGATCTTGAAGGAGGAGATGGCGGTGGAGGTGTCAATGTGTCGAGTAGATCTGAGGCGTAGAGGCATCTAGAAGGGGATAATTAAGGGCGGTGGAGATTGTGGGCGAGCGTCGAGGGGTCAAAGAGAGTGCGAGGCGACGTGGTCGAGGGGAGCTCGAGGTTGTCACGTAAGCAAGGAGAGTTCCCCGTGATTTGTTGGTTTTTCTAGCGGAGGTCGGGCAAGCGTCGAGGAGTCATAGATAGTTAGAGGGAGCGGAGGCAAAGGCGCCGAAGTGGGAACTCGAGGGAGCAGCGACGAGGGCGGGTGGAGCCCAAGTTCGAGGGAGCGGCGGCAAAGCAGAGGGGCACCGAGGAAGAGGGCAGGTGAAAGAGGGCGAGGCGGGAAGCGGATGTGATGGGCAGCGACTACTTAGCTCCAAGGGAGCGGAGCGCTATGAAGGAACTCCGAGGTGGAGGGCGGGCGAAGAGCGGTGAAGGCGGGAGGGCGGCGGTGAAGTCCGAACTCGAGGGCAGGCCGCGGCGGCTTGAGCTCAAAGGGAGCCGGCGGCTACCTGAGGAACTCATGAGGTGGAAGGCGGTGCGAGGCGGGGGCGGCCGGTGAAGTCCGAACGTCGAGGGCAAGCAGCGCTGCACTGCGGGCCGAGGGCGAGGGGCGGACGCGAGGAAAGGAGGGGGTGAGATTTTGGTGACAGAAATGAGAAGGGGTGAATGAATTTTGGGGGATGAGTTTTTTTGAATGAAGGGCTGAGATTAGTTTGAGATTGGTTGAGCTGGAAAGCTGAGATTCGTGCATCCTTATATATATATAATTATATTAATAATATATATATATTAATTATATATATATATTATATTGGAGAAAATGGGTAATACCTTGTACCCAAGGATCCTTGGTACAGGGTACGGAGTGTGGCCTCTATTGTCCTCCAACAATCCAAGCCCTTGAAAGATGGAGCTCACCAAACTTCAGGTGTGATGTAACTGGTCAGATGGTCCACACACTACCAAGGATCATTGGCCCAAGTATACCCATCATTCTACTTCCACGGTCACATCCCCAATCTCCTCTCTATTATTATATATATATATATATATGTATATATATATGATAATATATATATAGAGAACGAGAGAAACTTATCGCAACCTTAAGTGAAAACGACGCGTCCACCCCTGTAAAGATCTTAGTCATAGATGATCACTTGATATGACTACATTATAATGATCCGCGTCCGTTGAATCTTGATCTACATATTCTAAAACCCAACGCAAAAATTTGGGGTGATACCGTCGCGGTTCTAGCCTTCATCCACTCGTATCAGTTTTAACAGGTTTCGAATGAATAGAACTTTTTACATGGCTCGACGGGGGACAAACACAGACGGGTTCGCCCAAATTGGCTGGTTAGATTTAGAATATAGACAAGTTCAACGGACGGCATCATCCCAATGTAGCTCAATTCACCGTAATATCCATGCTGACCTAATGAAACTTAGTGGCACGCCACA